TGGAAATCTAAGCTAGTAGAAACAAGTGCATCGCTACTAGTAACAAGCGCCTTACTACTAGGAAGAAGAAGTTACTAGAAACAAGTGCTACATGAGGCTACTAGCTTCTTGTTACTACTAGTAAGGCACCTGTTACTAGTAGCGGTGCACTTGTTACTACTAGTAAATAGAATCTAATAACGAGTGAGCACGGCAAGACGTCGAGACTCGACAAAGACATACCTCCTCATATTCGCCGATCCTGAGGTGGCGCGTGGTGAACGTTGTTCCAACGTGGGGGCCTCGGCAAAGTATTGGATCCAAAAAAAGTGCCTTCCAGAATCTCGCCACCCCTCACAGAGCTGCCAAGGGATGCAAATGATTGCAATGGTGCAAGATATAAACATCAAGCGCTGATAGCAACAATTGCCTTGGGCGGTTCTTCCTTGGGCCTGACTCGGGACTCGAATGTGCAATCCTGGCAGCACCGAGGTTGGGACTCGTTTGATTCGAGCTGACCGACGGCCAGTCTTCAATCCAAGTCGTAAGGTAAGGTCGTAAACCATCGAATTCCATCGATCAAGGTTGACACTGAAGGTCTTCGACACCCGCTGGCACCAAGCCTTGGTACTTGATGCACCCCCTTCCCTGCTGTTTTGGGCTCCAGACCGAGCAGATCTTCCCCATGCAGCGCTGCATAGAGGAGGCGTTGGCCAAGGTGCGGCAGATGCATTGTGCCGAATGGCGTCCAAAATTCCAAGCCTTAATAAGACCTTAAGGAAAACTGTTTTGGTAATGAATGAAAGGATGTCATGGAATGAATGGAGCCATGCTCGTTTGGAGACGCAGATCACCTATCCTGATTTGAGGCCTCAGCTGCTGCGACCACTGACTTGGCAGCTGAGCAGCTAAGTGCCGCGCTCCATTCCTGCGCTGCAAGCGCAGCAGCTTGTGCAGAGGCTAGGACCAACAGGAATAGAAGGGAGAGTTACGAAAAGGAACCAACAAAATAGCAAAAGGAACCTAACAAGAATGGCCTTCAAAAGCAATGGCCTCCAGCCTACTAGCGATGGCCTCCAGCCTACTAGCGACGGCCTCCAGCCTAATAGCGACGGCCTCCAACCTAATAGCGACGGCCTTCAACCTAACAAGTATAAGTTTAAAAAAAATTGTTTCTGGTGGCCTCCAACCTAGAAGCAATGGCCTCGAACCTGCTAGCGATGGCGCGTTACGAACATGTGCGAACCATTGGTCCATGTGGCAATCTTGAGAATCTCAGAGCCCGCGCCATGTTGGTGGTCCGTCAAGATTGCAAAGAAAGCAACTGATTTCTACAACCACAGCTCAGAAAGGAGCATGGTCGCCTGTTTGTCAATTTTCTGGACCAAAGCTTGCTTGTGCGCCATTTGGCTGGCCGTCTCAATTGAAATCTACACGCATGTATACTTCCTTTGTTGGGATGCTTTCATTGATGCTTTGATGCTCCTTTCACTCGGGCTCAGAGGACTGAGTGCTTCTGTGTGCGCTCTCACCACCAAGAAAAGCAAGCTGTTGGGATTCCTCCGTTCCTGTCATGATTTCACTTCCATTTAAACTCTTTAGATTTTGTAGTAACAGATGCCCCCAGCGGACTTCGATGACTGCTCCGTTTCGAGGCATCACTTCGCTCGAGCGGACTTGTGGATGCCGTGCCGGGTGTTGCAAATGCATGCGGCTTGCTGCAGACAGAGGAGGTCAGAACAGAACATATTGCTTGCGTTGCTTGCATGAGTGATGCAAATCCCCCCGGGCACTGCCTAACCTAACCATTCTGATGACTCAAAGGCTTGTACACTGGCAGAAGAAACGTATTGATGTATTGGATGCCAACGATTTTTGCAACAGCACATCGATCGCCGTGAGCAGGACTTTGTCGTGGGCGCCATTTGGTCACAGATTTGGGCCTTTCTTGGATGGTACAATGCTGTGCAGCTTGCCACTGGGCAGTCTGAAACTGGATCACCAAGTTCCTTTGTAGGCTCTGCCAGACAAGATGGACAAGAAACAAGACACGATATTCCAATGGACTGGGTCCTTGCACATCCTAGGTCTTGGACTATGCACCTTTCAAACCCCAAACTTGGTTTTGTTGCATGAGCTAAGAAATAGGTCTTGCTTCACTTGCATGGTTATTGAGCTTTGATTTGTAGCAGACATCATGATCCATCGCTATAATATGCGATGATGATGAAACGTTGTCCTTGCTCTTTCGGCTTGTTTCAGATTGGGCCAAGCATGACCAAGCTCACTACGGAGTTGTATTTGTATGTTCCTTTTTCTCTCTCGGATGAATTATATACATCTGGCGAGGTGATCATCCCGTGGGTTTGCCTTTGGATGTTCTCCAGCTCGGTCCTGGGTCTGGCACGCTTTGCGCGATTTCAGTACCAGCTCTTCCGGATCAGCAACTTAGCAAGAAGCTACGGAGACCAATGCTTGTGGTTCAGGGCTGTCCTCGAAGGCAAACCTACTAGCGATGGCCTCCAACCCAATAGCAAACTATATTAGTAAGGCACCTTGCTACTACTAGTCATGCCAGGAGCTACTAGTAGCTTCTTGTTGCTACTATGTTAGACCTTTCTTCCGTTTCTTCCCTATTTTTTTTCTAATTGCCATGGCCTCCACCCTAATAGCGAAGGCCTCTAACCTACTAGCGATGGCCTCCAACTGCTTGTGGTTCAGGGCAGTCCTCGAAGGCAAACTCAAAGTTGCGGAACATATATCCCACTACCTTCAATTGCATCCATCTAGGGTGTGGACCATTACCAGAAACAGTTGGTAAAGGATTACAGCTAATACTTTTCCTACTCACCATCATCATCATCATCATCATCATAATCCACTGTTATTGGTAATGGGACATACCATGATACACCCAACAATACCCAACCGTTTTTGAAATGAGATTCGACGCGAGTCGTCTTCTAAGGTATTGACACCTTGCTTTTGATGGTTCTGTCCATTTTGACTCAAGTGGAGGACCTGACTTTTGTTTCACAGTTTGTCATCAAGATCAAGAATGGCCGAAGTGCCCTGTTCCAGCAAGCCGTATTGAGAAGAGCTTTGCTCTTACTCAGATTGACTGCCCCTGTCTCCAAAGTGCAGGGTGCTCTAACTACTTTTGATTGGCACTTCAAAGCTCGTCACAGTCTTACTATGCAGAGCAAGAATTGGACTATACTGAATGCACCCCTTGAACCCAAAGTGTCAGGCTTTCTAAGCCCTGTTGGATCTATCCTATAACATCCTATAACTGCAGGACTGGTTCACTTTGTGCACTCAGTGCCTCCACTCTGGCCTGAGCAGGCGGCATGGCTGAGCTTGAAATTGAGATGTAGATGACAGCCCGATGACCTGATGACAGCCTGAAACCTGCCCCACGTCCTTAGCACCATTCTACCGCACATCGACAAGCATCTCTCGTCAGCATCAAACAATCTCTAGGGAAGGACATAAATTGTATGAAAGTGTCAAACGTGTCAAGCATTTTGTCGAACTTCTGCTTGAACGGAACATATCTATATCTATATCTATATATATATTTTGTTTATGGTATTGTATGTAATTGTTCTATATAGAATGTCCTTGTGTTTGCCTGTTTCATCCGTTTCATCTCTCTTCCTGATTCCGTTCACCATGGGATTCACCAACTCCCAGGTCTGTTCGGAAATACTTTCGCCTGGAACGGGACTTGAAGAGGGCCACCAGCTTTGCAGAATACCGCCGAGCTGAAGAGGCGTTTCGAAAGATGCGACAACGAGGTAAGAAAGAGATCGTAAGTCGTAAGAGATAGTCGTAAGAGATCATCCATTTAAAATCAATGTGATATTGTTCCAAAGATCATTGAAGGGTCCGGTTTTGAAGGAATTCCATTGTGCTATGCCGCTGTGCTGTGGCATGTGCCGCCATGTGCCGCAGTCGGCAGTGTGACCTCGCAGGCTCTCCTGAAGTTCCAGTCAAGGCATTCAATTTGCCGGCCGATCTGCCGCCGCCCGTCTGGTGCTCGCCTTGCCTGTAGCTGCGAGGACGTACTTGTCATGTGAAACGCTCCTCATGAGCGTTGTGAGCGTTTCACATTCCCTTCGTGTTAGCCAGCATACTCAGAGCAGAACTCAGAACACCTGCATCAATGATGATTTGCCACGACTGTTAGCCTGCAGACTGTATCTACCGTGGCGCAAGAGAAGCACACTTTGAAGCCTCCTGACCAAGAGAGCACAGGAGCACCTGCAAGTGCTCCACATGGAATTGGAAAAGTCTTTGGAGGCAAAAGGCACGGAGGACACCCGTGGGGTCCGCCACAACCCGGCCACGCCGGACACCCATGTGATTTTCAGATTTTCTGTTCCAGTGGAAACACGGGGGGAGAAATCACTGAAAATAACAAAATAGATCAAAACAACTTGACAAGACAAGTGACAAGATAAAATTACAACAGTGACAAATCATTTCGATTTTACCATGGCAACTGCGCGACTAAATCTGAGCCTACTGCTGTTCACACTGAACTAACGTGGCGAATCAACTCCCAGGTCTCCGGTCAGGAAACTGCTTTCTTGTTACTAGTAGCAAGGCCAGGAGCCCCTAGTAGCGTCCTTTGCTCCTAGTAGCGATGCCCTTTGTTCCTAGTAGCGTCCTCTTGTTACTCGCTGTATCGATTCTTTAGCACCAGGACTTGGCAAAGCTAGAGCCTCTTTTGGTGGATCCTTGGCAGTGCGAGTCCGCTTGACGTACATGCCGCTATGGAGTGAGGTAGTAACACAGTATCGTTTGGGAGTTGCTGATGCCGGTCAGATATGCAGATGCATGAACTGTTTTCAGACAATAGTCCTCCTGAGAGAAGATCCATATCTTAAAGGTCGTGCAATTGCTGAAGAATGGATGGCCTGGATGGTATGATTGTTTTCGGATGTTTTCAGGAAGGCCGCTTCTTTGACAAGTATCCGAAGTGTTGACCCCGACTTGGCTTCCTTCAGACCCCTGTTACAGTGAAAGGTGGGCTCACATTGTAACTTCGGCAGCTTTACAGCCAAGGATCAAGCTGGCGGGGTGGAGTGGAGCCGCGTCCCAAATGCAGAGCAGCAACGCGACATGTTAAAGGATCCCGTGACTTCTACTTTGATTGAGCCAACATATATGTATGTGTCCGTTTTGGATCATTTGCCCGCATTCAGCTATGGGTAGGCATTACGCATTCAGCTCACCTGCGCTGTAAGGTACTTGGACAAGTTGTGCCATTGCTTGGAAGCCTCATGCCAACGTCGAAAGGGTGAGACTGCGGCACTACGAGAGCCTCACAAGCTTAAGGGGAAGCAGCCCATTTTCCATACTTTCGTGGAACTGAAGTGATTGTTAAATAGAGATAGTGTGCAAGGGCACAGTGACAACTTATTGAGCTTAGAATCAATCATGCAAGACGATGACAGTATATGCTTCATTATGCTTCTAACATGTGTGTCTAACATATCCTTCAATCCGCCAGACAACTCCAAGGATTGGTTGGTGGATCGACGCAAAGCGATTGGCCGTACCGCGCTCTGCTTGAGTGGCGGCGGCAGTTTGGCCATGCACCACATGGGTGTGTGCCGCTTCCTCCTGGAGGCATCAACTTCAATGCGCAAGGGGCAACAGAATCGGAGTTCACTCCAGTGGATGGGGAACCTTGATCTTAGTTGTTGGGGAGTGCAGAAGCTGAGTGCTTTCAGATGCCATCAGCATACGGTCATAGCCTTTGAGTCATGGCAGGAAGGCTTAATGCCCAAGATTGTCAGCGGCGTATCGGGTGGCTCCATCGTCGCCGGCTTTCTGGCTATCCACACAGATGAGGAGAAGCTTGGCTATGCTTATAGCCACGCCTAAGCTTACAGGTTGCATCACTTTAACTACTTTTAACATCTTTTAACTATATGTTCATATATTTTCGGCATTGGCCTGTCTCAGCCAACTTGCAGCTTCCTGACCTTCAGATTGAGGCATGCCCCGGCACCGCCAATCTTTTGGGGAGAGTATAGGCTCTAGACGGAGAACTGCTGGAACATGGGCATAACATGGACGGATCAGTTCCTTGCCAAACCAGTAGACAACAGCAAACACAAATTCGGCGATTGAGGATTCTCAAGCACGTCTTCGTGCCAGACATCGTGCAACGGCATGTTCCTCACCGATGGTTTCCACACTGGTGGCAGGCGAATGGTGTTGGGAATTAGCCCGCTGAAGCCAAAACACAGGATGACAACGTGTTGGAAGACAGGGCTGGCCACGTGCTGGCCACAACAGCTGATTTGTTTGTTTTCTCATGTGCCATATATGTGCACTATAGGAAGCCCGCTCAAAAAATATATATGCGCACTCTTGAAGGAACTTCAATCCCTGGGGCAATCGGATGAGAGGTTGGATACGATGCAGCTGCTTTTACCTCATGACTCATGAAAGGATCCCAGACATGTTTTTCTCTTATGTGACCAGCAGGAGCTTTTCAACTTCCTGCAGCTGGGCGTCTTAGTTCCCACGGAGGACTTCGAGGGTACCTGTCAGGCTCTTGGGCGGTGGACTCAGATGCGAGTGAGTGGTTTTCAATGATTACTCTCGATGTCTCCATGTCTCTAATAGCCATGGCCTCCACCTAGGAGCGATGGCCTCCAACCTAATAGTGAGGAGTTCCATGTTCTTTTAAGAAGTTTCCTTCCCTCAACCCTCGCTGTATGAAACGATTCCTGGACTTTGAGGGTAAAGGGGTGCCCATCCAGGGTATGCAGATGCATTTGGTCTACACTGATGGCGACCCAACTTGTACTTAAGCCAAGAAAACCAAGTCTCTCTCAGAACAATTGGCGTTTTCATTTTCCCTGGAGGCATACTTTGGCACTTGGACCTTTGAAGAGGCCTATCGGCGAACCGGGCGGCCAGTGACCATTGTGATCTCCTCAAACTTCTCCAGAAAGCTGCCAGCTTGTGCTTCTCAGCTGTGAGATGCGTACGCTCGGCGAGCGTAGAATGGCTTGCATAGACACGAGTCAGTACACGAGTCACCAGAGGCTCCGAATGGTGGCTAGCCGCAGCCAGCCAACAAGAATAAACTCATTACAAACCGGTCAAAGTGATCGATCTCCCCATTATAGATCTTCTCAGTCACACAGCCGCAGTCAATTTGCGCGCGGACAGTGTGGAGACAGTTGGAACATCAACCACCCGGACTCCTGAATGTACTTTGCATCGCTACTAGGAGCGATCGGACGCTACTAGGGGCTCTCTGGCCATACTACTAGTAACAAGAACGCTACGAACGTAGCAATGTAACTCCTTTTGTCCCAATCGTCTAGATCTTGCATTGTCTCACACTCTCATCTCCCGCCATTCGTTCCATCGTCAGCATCAGGTGATGCTGAACCACATGACCGTGCCACGGGTCACCGTCGCCTCCGCTGTGGCCGCCTCTTGTGCAGCCATTGGCGTAATGCGGCCCAGGGGCTTGGTGGCTGCTCGGCGGAAAACCTTCGAAACAGGTTCAGGCCATGGGCTTTGTGGTCCGGCCCGGACCAGAACGAGATGATTTGAGGAAAGATGAGTTCTAGATACGGGTTGTATCAATATGTTACTGTGGTTGGGTGTGGGTGAGCAGTCTGAAATTTTTGCCGATGCTTTTATGCATGATCTATTTCAATGCTTTGCCTTTTTGATCGCTTCTTGATTCCTCTTGTGCTTTGATTTGGGCATAGGTGAAGGATCCTCTCACTGGCACCTTAGCTCCCTTCAACGTTTTGGGCGAGTCCTTCGCCGCCGCTGAGCTTGTAAGTTAGTGGAGGCGGAGCAAGCTTCAGCACAAATCAGGCACACCGAAGCAACACCGAAGCAAGCTCAAGCTTGATTTTAGCTGTGGTTTGTTTCTCTACATATTATTGCCACTGGTCGCATTAGCATGCATTAGCCGTAATTTCATTGCTATGTGTGGGATTTTGTGGGGCAAGATGGAGTTGTGTGTTCATCCTCGGACCTTGCCTTGACTGGCCGACAAAGTAAACTCGGTCATTAGAGGCTTTGACGGCGGAAAGGGTGACGGGAGGATGACCGGGATCGCAGTGAGGACGGCTCCTTTACGGCAGAGGTGCCCAAGGATTATTTACGCTCCTGCTTCGGTGCAACGCGCTTCCTGGTGTCGCAGGCCATGCAGTTGCATGAAGTGAATATTGCACATGCAATGAGTTGTGTCAGGAGGTCGCAGATGCAAAATTGCATGTCAAATCTCCGATGAGGTCAAGAGACCATCTGTCAAACAAGCTGCGCTCAGGTAGTGTTGGTACTGTTGCTACTTGGGATCTAGATGCGTTTGCCTTGTGTTTTGTTAAGTGTTCTTGTGCAAAAAGGGCAGAGAATCCTGAGAATCCCTTGAGGTGAATCCACACGTGTCTTCCTTCATGGATGCCAAGGGAGGTGTGTTGCATAGCCTTCGAGGGCATTTTGGCTTTGATCTTCAGTGGCCTGGTCTTATTAGACACGAAGCCTCAACAAGGACGACCTTCTTTCAGTTTAGTGTTCCAGTATCATCAGCATTTGTCAAAATGATCAGCTGCATATATATATATATAATTATATATATATATGATGATGATATATGATTATATATGAGGTGAAGGCAGTGGAGGGTGTGCCTCATACTTTCTATAGTTCGCCTGTTAGTTCACCATATCCTCTCACGGGATTCATCAAAAAGGTGACAGATTTGTACGTGAAGCGAAGCCAAAAGCCCAAAGGGGATTGATCAGGCGATCGGTACGCGTTTGCTTTAAAGTCTGTGGCCCTGCCTCCAAACTTAAACTAAGTAGGTACCTACTTTATTCAGTAAGGGAGAAACTAGTTAACTAGGTTGCTACTAGCAATAGGAAGCTCCTAGCAAGGACGCAGGATAGCTCGCGTTTCTTTAAGAATACTTATTGTTCAAGTACATGTTTTCTCCATCCACTCCTGAACCAGTGCAGCCACCTTCAGGCAGCGCGCGCGAATGCTCTCCGAGTACAATCTTCTGCCGTCCTTCTTTGGCCGGGCAATGTGCCAGGCACCTGAGACCAAGCAGGTTAGTCTCTTGACCCATCCATGACCTAACACAGCATATCGCCTGCGTAAAGAAGGAATGTATTTTGATGCTCACCACTGATATACACCGCTGACATTTGCATTGAATGGGTTCAAAATGGTTCCGGAAAAAACAGGATGCAAAAAATATTGGGTTTTCGGTCATGTAAGTGCCTTGCTTCTCGAGAACATGCCAACTCAGCCGAAAGGACAATCACGAGAGGGTCGAGTGATAGACTTAGACATTGTTATACAAGCTTCCCTAACACTCTAAGGAACAAGAAGCTACTAGTAACTATAATAGGAAGTTTCCTTGGGAATCATTTCACCAGGAATCGTTTCACCTGTAGTAACAAGAAGCCTTTTAGTATGTCTTTGAAGCTACTAGGAGCAAGGACGCTACTAGTAGGTCTTTGAAGCTTTCTAGTAACAAGAAACTAGGAACCTTAAGTTTCCCTAAAACTCGACAGGAACCAAATCATTAAGGCTTTGGCTTCTTCAAGGAAGCTATCCGATAGTTCCTCCAGTTTTGTCCTCCACAAATCGTGGGGGGGGGGAATGAACCACCCCCCTCCCCCCCCC